CCGCCCTCGGGTCGCCGGGTGCGCTGAGGGCGGCCGCGCTTCGGATCCGGTTCATATATGGGCAGTAAGGCGTGCGAGCGGCGAGGCGAGGCGTGGGGCGTGGGCGTGGTCGTGGGCGGGGTTCGTGGCGTGGGTCGTGGGCGCGGGTCGTGGGCGGGCGGTGTGATTCGCGAAGGATTCGGCGGGGAGGAGGTGGTGTAATTCTTGCGGAGAAGGGGATGGGGTTGAGGTGGTGGAGGAAGGTAGGTTGGGGGTGGGGGGTAGAGGAGCGAATCCATACGTGCGTATATCATTATATATTGTTTTTTTTTTTTTTCTTTTTATTATTACCTATTGTTTATTTTCCTGTCTGTTGTCATCTATGTCTTTCTTTCTCTCTTTCTTTCTCTCTCTCTCTCTCTCTCAGTCAGTCGGCTCTCTCCTCTCCTCTCCTCTCTCTCCGCTCTCGTTCTCCTCTCATCCTTGCTCATCCTCATCTTCTCCTTCTCTCTCTCTCTCTCTCTCTATCTCTCTCTCTCTCATTCCGCTCCTCTCTTTCTCTGTCTTCTTCCTCTCTCTTCTCTCTCTCGCTCTCTCTCCTTCTTTCTCTCTCTTCTCTCTCTTTCACTTCGTCTCTATCTCTGCTCGTCTCTCTCTTCTTCTTTTCCTTCTCTCTCGTTACCCTTCTCTCTCTCTCCTTACCTTCTCCGACCATCGCTCCTCTCAGTCTCTTGTTCTCTCTCTTTCTCTCTCACTTCTCTCTCTCTCTCTCTCGTCCTTGCTCCTCTCTCTCTCTCCTCTCTCTCTCTCTTCTCTCTTTCCTCTGTCTCCTCTCTCTCTCTCTGTCTCTCTCCTCTCTCTCTCTTCTCTCTCTGTCTCTCTTCTCTCTCGTTCTCTCTCTCTCTCCTTCTCCTCTTCTCTCTTCTCTCTTCTCTCATCTCTCTCTCTCCTTCTTCCATCTCTCCCTCACTCTCTCTCGCTTCTCTCTCTCCTCTCTCCTCTCTCGCTTACTCTCTCTCTCTCTCCTCTCCTCTCTTCTCTCTCTCTCTCTTCTCTCTCTTCTCTCCTCTCTCTCTCTCTCTTCTCTCTCTCTCTCCTCTCTCTCTCTCTCTCCTCTCTCTCCTCTCCTCCTTCTCTCTTCTCCTTCTCGCCCTCCTCTCTCTCTCCCTCTCTCTCTCTCTCTCTCCCTCTCTCTCTGCCTCTTCCTTCTTCTCTCTGCTCTCTCTCATCTCTTCTCTCTCTGCCTCTCCTTCTCTCTCTCTCTCCTCTCTCTATCTCTGCATCTCATCTCTGCCTTCTCTCTCCCTTTCTCTCTCTCTTTTTCTCTCTCTCTGCCTCTCCATCTCCTTGCCTCTCTATCTCCCTGCATCTCTATCTCTGCCTCTTTCTCTCTCTGCCTCCCCTCTGCCTCTCTCTCTCTCCTCCTCCCTCTCTAACACCCAAGACAAACTGCTTGCGTCTTGCTAAGCGCCTGTTACAGAAGAGGAGGACGCGGCTCACCAGCGAGGCGAGGAGGCCCGAGTGGCGTCGAGAACAGTTAAATGGAGATGTTTGTGTTTGCGGGCGGGGCGAAGGTGCGGGCGTGCCTGGCGGTGTTGACACGGCTGAGTCAGGGCCGGGGAGGGGCAGGACATGACGGGCGCCGTGACGTCATGCGCCCTCCCCCCTCTCCCCCATCTCCCTCTGCCGGCCCGTGGCGCCTTGCCCTCGGGAGGACGTCGCTCTTATCAGCGGAGTGCGCGCTGGAATCTGCCGGGGGCTTAGGCTTTGCTTCTTCGGGGAAAGGGCTGCGGCGCGGGGGAGCGGGCAGATTATTGGGCGGCGCCGTGGCGGGGAGAGGGGCGGGGTGGGGAGAGGGGAGAGATGAGGAGGGGAGGGAGGAGGAGAGGGAGGGGAGGAGGATGGAGAGAGGGGAGGTAAGAGAGAGGAGGAGGAGAGGAGGATGGGGAGAGGGAAGAGATAGAGGAGGGAGGAGAGAGAAAGGGAGAAGGAGAGAGGGAGGTGAAGAGAGAGAGTGATAGAGGACGAGGAGGATTAGGGGGGGCGGGGAGGGGGGGGAGCGAGACTGGTTAGTATTGAAGAAGCGACTTGAACTGTGTCACGCGAGGCCACATGCTCCTACTTGATCATTGTAAATCTGACAGTAATTGTGGAATCTCGTAAATGTTGAAGGTCGAGGAGCAGTTTCTCGAGGCGAGAAATTCTCTCTCCTTAGCCTGGGGCGACGCGTCTCGGGGTCTCCTTCTCACGCTTCTATTCCCCTCTCTCTTTTTCTTTATCCTATTTCTTTTCTCTTCCTTCGTCCTCCCTTCCCCTTTGTCCTTATTTTGTTTTCTCTCTCTCTCTCTCCTTATCCTTGTTCTCCTCCTCCCTCCTCTTCCTTCGCTCTCCCCTTCTCCTTCGTCCCTTATTTTTTTCTCCTCCTTATCCTAGTTCCCCTCCTCTTCCTTCGCCCTCCTCTTCCCCTTCGTTCCTTATTTTTTCTCTCCCTTTTCCTTATCCTTGTCCTCCTCCTCCTCCTCCTCCTCCTCTTCCTCCTCCTCCTCCTCTTCCTTTTATCGTCCCCTTCCCCTTCGTTCCTTATTTCGTCTGTCTCCTCCTTATCCCTGTTCTCCTCCTCCTCCTCCTCCCCTCTTCCCCCAAGCCCACCGGCATCCCCCCCCCCCCACCCCCCGCGCCACCACAGGGTGCGTGAGGGCCCGGTGTGTTTTATCGCGATTTGATTCCACAGAAGTCCGCCTCGCACCTTGATTTGCTCGTCGCCGCGATCGAGGTACTCCGTCCGCCGTCCGCTAATTACTGTCATTATTTCCCTCGCCAATCTCTCTCTCTCTCCTTTTCGCGGGCGGGGGGGGGAGAAGGAGGAGGGGGGGGGCTCTTCTCGCGTTGTCTCTCGTCGTAGGGCGGAGGGGGAAGAGAGGAGGAGGGGGAAGGGGTTGAGGAGGGGAGGGGGTGGTGGGGATGCGTCTGCTTGTCTTGCGATCTATTTTCATGCTTATCGTGGTGTGTGCGATGCTTCTGGACGTGGGTTTGTAGCCGGGTTTTATCTTTTTTTTTTTTTTAGTTCTGCATTTTACTTTTTTTTCTTTTTTTTTTTTGTCTTTAATTCCCCTGTTTGAGTTTGTGGTGCAGACAGTGTTATTATGGGTGACGTGGTGGACATGCACAGTGCGATCCGCTGCAAGAGGAATAGGAGAGGGAGGGAATGGAGGAGGAGGGAAGGGGAAGGGAAGGGGGAAGGGGGGGAGAGGGAAAGGAAGGGGAGGAGGAGAGAAAGGAAGAAGGGGAGAGAGGGGAGAGGAGAGAGAAGGGAGGGCAGGGAGAGGGAGGAGGCAGCGTTATCTGGCTGCCTGGCCCATGTTGACACTCGCCCTCGGTCGGAAAGGGAACGACACCTGATGTAGATGGCGGTGATTGGTGGCGAAGGTGATGGTCAGCGGGATGGAGACGATAGTAGGGGAGTGAGGGGGAAGAGGGAGAGGGCGACGAGGAGAGGGCGAAGAGGGAGAGGGGAGGACGAGGAGAGGGGCGAAGAGGGAGAGGGAAGAGGGGACGATGGACATGCTTCTGGGAAGAGCGACGCCTTAGACTTGTCGGAAATGTGTCGGGGCTGAAGGCATAACATGTGCCGGGGTTTCCACGAAGAGAGGGATTTGGGGTTAGCGAGGATGCGGGAGGGCATGTGTGTATTGCGAGAGAGAGGCTGGCAGACAGACAGACAAACAGACACGGACAGACAAAGACAGATATTGGCAGGCAGTCAGACTGAATGAATGAATGGCATACAGACAGACACAAAGAGAGAATGATTAGACATGGCGCGTTTGCGCTGGTTAAGAGCTGCTCTCAGTTTCATGCACGACTTGTCTTGCATTTGGCCCTGCAGTTGTGTCTACTCGCCCTCTCTCTTCCGCTCGCCCTCTTCTTTTCAGAACGTACGTTCGTTTTTTCTGCACGAATGCCCGCGCTGGAATTATTTATCGCAGCAGGATAGTCGGCCACCACATCCGAAGATTATATGCCATCTCCGCCCACTTTTTTCTTTTTTTTCATTCGCTGGGCGCGGAGCAGCTGCGGCGGCGAGTAGAGTTACAAGGGCTGTGGGATCTACGGCTCGCGTGGCACTGCTGAATGGGGCGTGGAGGTCCTTTGCCATTGGGGGGGGGGCGATGGGAGGGGCACAGGAACGCAAGCTGGCAGACAGCTGGGGAAGCGAACAGGTGGGCAGAGAACCTGACAGAACTTCCTGCAGACGGATAGACAAAGCAACAAGCAGATGGATTCATAGGTGGATATGTGTACTGGAAAGACGGTCATACAGATTAGAAAATACTCAGATATACAGGGGATGGACAGACAGAGACAAGCAGGACATGCAGTTCGGTACGTAGCCAAGCAGACACGTAGGCAAGCAGCAGGAAGACAAGCAGAAGAGCAGAAACAATTAGACATGCAGTCAGGCAGCGATGCAAGCAGCAGTACCTCGAGACGGACGAGAAGAGAACTTTGCTTGTTTATTCAGCGTGTGGCCGAGTGAGCGTCGGGGCTGTGGAGGCGAGGGCCAAGGTGGCTCGAGCCGGACCACGCGGTGCCGGCTGCCGGAGTGGGCGGCGACGGTGCGTACTACGGGGCATGAGTCCCGGGGAGGAGAGGGAGAGAGGGGTTCGCCTGCTGTTTGTTTGAACAGTGTTAACGCTAATGTAGTCCGTTACTTTACGTTGATGCAGTGTTTGCGTGTATGCTGAACTCGCGCCGTCTTGTCTATATTGTTTTTTTTTTTTTTTTCGTGTCAGGATATAAATGCTTCTCCTTGAATACTTTTTAGGGGGGGGGGGGCGCCGGCTCTTTTATGGGGGGCGGCCACGATGGGCGTAGCCACGGGAAGTCCGCTCGCGCCGGGTCTAGCGAGCCGGGACGTCGGCGCTTAGTTAAGGGCTGATTTCCTCTCGCTTTCGTCGGGATCGTCGCCTCAACGGAAGCGGGGGGTTGGGGCTGTGCTTGCTCGCGGGTCCGGGGCGAAGATGGAGTACCAGGTCGCATCACCCACGTGGGAGGGAGGCCGAGGCGGACGGCGTGAGGCGCCCACGCTCCGTCCAGGCCGAGGCCAGACTACCCTCGGCACTGCCAGCCTTACCTCGGGCGACATCTTGGATTGGGCAAAGCAGGGGCAGGGGCAAGGCAGGGGCAGGGGCGCGAGGAGTGGGATCCGCCACACGCGCGCGTCCCTCGTGCAGGAGAAGGCCTTCCTGCGACGGGGACGCTGTGTCGGCGTCAGAGGCAATCAGGATGATGTATTGGGCGATATCGACAGGAGAACGGGAGTCGTGTAAGGCTTGAGTCTCCCCTGCCGATAACCACACTCGGCTGCGTTTTCTTTGTCGGTCCAGAACTCGATTTCTGTTATCCTTGGTGGATGCCCCCCCCCCCACCCCACCCCAGCCCTGTATGGTCTTCGCTGCGGCCGTTTCCTGCTGGTCGACTCGGGTTAAAACTGTAAAATAAGAGAATATGCATAAAGCAGACAGAGGAGGAGGTTAAGAAGGTCCAAATTTTAATGCATGGGCGAAATATTTGAGATTACGTCAGTTGTGCTTTCGTTTTCGTCTGTGCTTGAGGTAGAAAGCTCGGGCGGATAAGTAGATAAAACCGCTGAGCCACGAAAAAGCGACTTTATAGCGAATTGCAGCGATAGTTACGTTATGAGCGTCGTTTTGCATTTTTACGGTCCGGCATCGTGTGCCTTTGATCACACTCTTTGTTCTAGCCGCTTTGCCTTTATTGTGCACGGTATCCGCTCACTCGTTCAGATTTATGGCCTGTAATGAGAAGTTCTTGCGAAAACTGGGATATGAATAAAACTCCACAAAAGATATATTGCACTTGGTATCATCGTTGACATCGTCTTGTGTGCTCGGTCAGATTGATATCAGTGCCTTCCAGTTGCAACAGATATAATCAGTTGTTTGCTATGAGCCTGTCTGTTAATGTAATGATTGCCATTGTTATGCATTATTACTACCATTTTATGATTACCATTATCGTTTTCCCTTGAGCAAAGACAAGGCGCTAACGTGTTTCCCTTTCCTCAGATATGACTACGAGGTGCTCCTGCGGAACTCGACCTTCTGCCTGGTGCCCCGCGGACGCCGCCTCGGCTCCTTCAGGTTCCTGGAGGTGCTGCAGGCCGGCTGCGTGCCCGTCCTGCTGGCCAATGGCTGGGAGCTGCCCTTCAGCGAGGTCATCGACTGGAGCCGTTCCGCCCTCTGGGCCGACGAAAGGCTCCTGCTGCAGGTGAGGGCGCGGCGCCTCGGGGGCTCAGAGGCAGCCCGTTTTTTTGTTTGTTTGTTTTTTTAATATTTGCTGGCGAATAATTTGCCGAGGTTGTGTCCGTTCCCGAGACTGACGAGAGCGTTTCCCGGCGCAGGTCCCCGACATGGTCCGCTCCATCAACGCCTCCCAGATCCTGCAGATGAGGCAGCAGACGCAGCTCATGTGGAACCAGTACTTCTCCTCCATCCAGAAGATCGTCTTTTCTACGCTAGAGGTGAGTGGCGCCGGCAGAGCTGTTTTTTCCTTGTTTATGTTATTGCTGTGCAGAAGAGATCGCGTTAGTTGATCTGATCTAAGTTTAAAGGTGTAATATCAAATATAATTCATTTATTATTACAAACACATGTGTTCATTGTCACTGAGTCACTCACACACGCGCACGCACACCCTCACGCGCAAACCCACCCACACGCACACCCACACGCGCACACGCGCACGCACACGCACACGCACACGCACACGCACACCGTCACCCAAACTCACACGCGTACCCGCACACACGCGCACGCACACACGCACACACACACCCACGCCCCCCCCCCACACACACACAAAGTAAAATCAAAAGCATCTGATGAATGATTCCAGCGCCATGTTACGATTCTCTTCCAGCGAGAGTAGAGTAGTTACTAGCCGTACGGGTAGGGACTTCACTGACTCCACTCAGAATGAAATCGAACACAAGCAAACGTTTTCCTCGTTTTTCCCCCTTTTTCGGATGCATAGTTATCCAAAGCCCCTGAAATGGTAGTTACGGTAATCATTTCACAAGCATAACTTACCCAGAAGGCACATAACTATCACACGTGACTCTAACGAGGACTTGGACTTGCAGATAGTTGCAGATAGAGTAAGGAGGCACAGGGCGAGGTCTCTGGCCGTGTGGAACTCCTCCCCGGGATCTCTGGCGGTCAACCTCTCCTTCTCAGACTACCTGCCGCACTTCCCCTTCTACTTGACGTCGCTGGGCATCAGTCCTAGCCCGAGGTGAGTTGCTGGGCTTTTGAGAAGAGTTTTGTAGTTTTCTTCTTTTTTCTCCTTTCTTTCTTTCTTTTTCTTTTTCTTTTTTCTTCTTTTTTTCTTCTTTCTTCTTCTTTTTTCTTCTCCTTCTTCCTCCTTCCTCCTCCTCCTCCTCCTCCTCCTCCTCCTCCTCTCCTCCTCCTCCTCCTCCTCCTCCTCTCCTCTCTCTCCTCTCTCTCTCTCTCTCTCTCTCTCTCTCTCTCTCTCTCTCTCTTCTCTCTCTCTCTCTCTCTCTCTCTCTCTCTCTCTCTCTCTCTCTCTTTCTCTTTCTCTTTTCTCTCTCTCTTCTCTTTCTTTCTCTTTCTCTCTTTGCTTTCTCAGAATTTTGGATGGTCCTTTGGAAAATGATGGGGTCGTTTTTGGGTCATTTGTTCGATGGCTTGATGGAGATCATGGTGACCATTATTGGGTTTTGTTTCAGGTACACGGCAGTCATCTCAGTCACGCACGGGGGCACAGGTCTTACCCAGACGACGCCGCTGTACAAGCTGGTCAAGAACATTGCCCGCAGCAAGTTTGTGGAAAAGGTAAGGCTTCTTTATCGTCAGGTTGAGATGATGTTAATGTATCGTGAATATGCCCTCAAAGTAATGGCAGTAGATAGGAAGCACCCCGAGTGGTTCTCATTGTTTGGCTGGTATCTTGTAGGTTTTGGAACCACTCCCACTTGTCATCCTTGTAAGAGAATGGCAATTTTGAGGTCTATTTTTCAGCAATTTGATATTTTTCCTTTACTTCAGATAATCGTGGTGTGGACGAGCAGCCAGACTCCCCCCACAGAGAACCGAATACCGGGAGGGAGTGTCCCGGTGCACGTGGTTGTGCCCCCCGACCGCTCAATCTCAGCCCGACATCAGCCACATCCACTCATCACGACCGATGCAGTTTTCTCACTAGATGAGGACGTCACGCTAACCACAGATGAGCTGGACTTTGCCTTTACAGTCTGGCGGACTTTCCCCGAGCGGATTGTTGGCTACCCTGCCCGGTCTCACCACTGGGATGATGCCAAGGTGAGGGGAGAAGAAGAGTTGGATTTTTAGATGATGTACAGCATACATCTTGGATTGTATAATTTGTTGGATTGGGGGTTGTAGGAAAGGTTTTAGTGATAATGTGTTGATTTTTTTTATTACAGTGAGTTGATAGTAGCTTTGATATATATATGTATGGAAGGTGAAGTTGATAAACTGAGAAAGGTCATATATATATGTGTGTGTGTATATATATATATATATATATATATATATATATATATATATATTATATTATATATATGTATATATGTATATGTATATATATATATATATATATATATATTATATATATATATATATTATATATATATATATATAGTATATATATATATATATATGTTATATATATATATATATATATATATATATATATATATATATATATATATATATATATATATATATGTATATGTATATGTAATTATATATATATATATATATATATATATATATATATATATATATATATATATATGTATATTATATGTATATATATATATGTATATATATGTTTATGAGGAACTCGAGAAGAGTTCGAAACGTCACGCTTATTCTCAATCTCATTGTGGCTAGTTTCATTTTCATTTTTGTGTTCACGTGATTGTGTTTGTGCTTGTGTTCATATGTATATATATATGTATTATATATATATATATATATATATATATATATATATATATATATATATATATATATATATATATATATATATATATATATATATATATATATATATATATATATATATATATATATATATAGATATATAGATATAGATATATATATATATATATGTGTATATGTATATGTATAATTTGTTGTTATATTAATGCAGCTGCTCAGATTTTGTTTATATTTTAAAGTATAAGGGAAATTTCCTTAATTTCACACACTGTCTCTTCTCAGGCTGGCTGGAGCTACACCAGCAGATGGACCAATTCGTACTCAATGGTGCTGACTGGGGCTGCGGTCTATCACCGTTACTGGCAGCATGTGTACACTCACCAGTCACCATCCGGTCTCCTCTCCACTGTATCCACTACCAAGAATTGTGATGATATACTTATGAATTTCCTTGTATCAGCTGTGATCCGCCGGCCGCCCATCAAGCTTACCCAGCGTAAACAATACAAGGATTATTCCTCTGAAGCAAGGTATGTCCAGGAAGGGATAAATGAATGGGAAAATATCCTTTTCAAGTTGTTGATATTGCCAGAGCACTGTTCTGACTCAGACAGATAATTCAAGGAATTCAGGGAATTAAATATTCTGTGAAATCGTCAACAGCTGCACAAGATGTCCATTCATGATGAATATATTTTTGTTGTGTGAAAAAAATGTAGACAAAAATTATACACGTACATACATGGGTAGGCAGACTAATAGATAGATATAAATATAAGTATATGTATGAATATACATTTATTGATGTTATTATTTGGATTTTATGACCATATTTGTACAGTGAGATGTGTTTTTATTTTGATAATTATCGTTTTACATGACTGAAGGAATAACATATCATACTGAATTTCTTCCCTCTTCTTCCAGATGGGTGTGGACGGACCCCAGTCACTTCCACCAGCGCAGCGTCTGCCTGAACACATTTGCTTCATTATTAGGTCATATTCCACTAAAACATTCTAACTTACGCCTCGATCCTGTGCTCTTCAAGGACAAGGTATCCATGCAAAGGAAAAAATACAGACAGATTGAAAAAATAGGAAGCTAACAATAGTAGCTAATTAGGAAATACTCGGTATTTATATTGTTATTATTGTGCATTTGTTTTTTTTTAACTTTTTTTCAAGTGTCACTTGTAACAGGTCATAAAAAAGGTGTCTAGTTAAAACAGTGTGACTAAACTTTTTATTATCAATTTCCTTAGCTTTGCATAGACATTTATGATACTTTGTTACCATTTCATTTTTTTTAATCAGTGTGATAGCTAGGGGAAGTTGTTCAATGCAATGTTCATGAGTTAGTGTTAATGTTAGAAGTTAAAAGTAGATTCATGGACTGAGCTCTGGTGCCCCAGAAAATAATATGCTCTTTAAAAGAGCTTTGATCCATTCAGTTTTGGAATGTATTTCTATGAACTTGACTGCAAGTAAGGATAGCATAGGACATATCAAATGTGTGATATGAGTGAAGCTTGTTATTATTTTATACACATTAATATTTAGGTTTTCACAACAATAATTTGTCACAAAATGAATACTGTAATCATGCAATGTATCATATCATTATTATATTTGGCAAACTTTTAAGAAAATGTAAATAAATTACTTTGTCTGATTAAGCAGACCAGTCTAATGTGAGTCAATAGACATTTGTCTATTTTTAATTCATCTCAATATTTGGTGGAATAGTCATGTTTTACATAGAAGGAGTCACTCGTTATTAATGGTGCCATTTTATTTTAGCTGCATTTGTTATTATTAATAAAGATTAGTCATAGCTATTTTTAAGTTTCAGTCAGAAAATTGTGCTCAAGTTTAATTTCTTGGTTCATTATTGCATACAAGAAGGAGTTGGAGCAAAATACATTGTGGCTTAGTGGAGGATACATGGCATTCCTCATATACAACTGGTGGCTTCCAGCGACCATCTTCCAGACCATACGTTTAAAGTAACCTGGCGTGCCTATATCTCACACTAAAGCGGACAGGTCAGATGTGTCGTGCAGTGGTCTCTGCTCCAGTCTTTCTAAAAGTTCCTGTAAACTGGTAGAGTAGATGAGCTGAGCCTTGGGGTAATGGGTTCTTGAAGGTGAGTTCGGGTTGTGATTGAACTCATGAAAGCCATGTGGTAGTAACTTTTTTAATTACTGTTATCATCATTATTTATAATTATTATTGTTATTATTAATGTTAATGTTATTTTTTATCATTATTATTATTATTATCATTATCATTATTATGTTATTATTATTACTATTACCGATATTACTAGTATTAATATTCTCATTATCATTATTATTATTATTACTTTTTACTTTTACATTTTCTCAGGTACTGTATGTAGAAAGAAAAAAGTTATTTATTAAGGAATTTCTTAACAGGGACATGAGAAATAAGCTAGTAGAGGACTGTTCACTTGCTCTTCCAGTGCAGTTTTAGACTGAGAAGTAAAAGTATGATACAGACGATAACAGTGAAGTACTCCCAGGAAACACAAGTCAGTAGACAGAATACTCATAAAAAACCAAGATGCTAGAGGTGCTTTGATGTACATATATGCTGGGTTTATGACAGCCCAAATGTCATGTATATCCTGTCTTAGGAAGTATGTTTTTATAGCAAAAGATAAAAAAAACTAAATTATAGAGTAACCATTATGTAGTCAATGTGTACTGAAGTACTTTTATATTTTTTAACATCATACCATAGATAAAAAAAAAAAATCTGGAGGATTGTATGCAATTCAATCTTCCAACATCAGACCCTCTCACTAGATACTTACTTTTATATGTAAAAAAATTCTCCTGTTTTTATACATTATACATTTTTTGTGTTCAAATAAGTGAATGAATATAGATGTGATAAGAGCTCCAGTTGAGTGAATGTAAGAATGTAAGAAATTTAATGAGTGCAGATTCACATTAGCAGGTGGGTATTGCGGATAGAGACAATTTTCTGACTTGTGTGCTATGATTTCCTTTTGAATTGTTTTCGTATTGGAATTGAGTAAGATGCTGCTATGTGGTATGAAAATTAAATATGCTGCATTCTGAATGAAAGACTCCCCAGTCAGTCATGCTGTATTTAACACACCTTTGACAACTCAGGTATGTCTAAGCAGCTTACAGAAGAGTTGTATTCATATGGTTGAAGAGAAGAACATATCACTATATTTTTTCTTTGCATTAGTGTGATTGTTTCAACTGTTTACCAATGAAGGTACATTTTCTCACTTGCAAATAGCTGAAATCAAGGCCTAAACTGTAGTAGGTAGTAATAACTGCTTGTTTAGGAAATGCATTGAATTGAATGAACAGTTTTTATCATCATAATTTGTAGGCTATGGAACTAATTGTCTGCTCTGAACTTTTTGCCACACTTGTAAAAAATTGTAATGCATGATGTGGCTTCAGAAAAGCAAACATCGAGAAGGTAGTGCCATGTGCCGAGGAAATTCCAGTATTCATATGAAACTGGGTTGTAAATGGATTTTTAATATAATAGTGTTTGATAATTCTTTCAAAGATACATAATTTCAAAATAATCTGAGTATTCATACTGCAGGTTCAGATGGGGCTCTGTATTGTAATATTAATGGTGGACACATTCTGTAAAAAAAAATATGTACTTTTACTAAAACATGACAGTAGATATAATTTAATTGTGATAAAGCTCTCTTATTTATGAAATGCCAGTTTAAGAATGAATAATTTTAATAACATTTTAGCTGTCCTTTGTAAAACTAAATTTAAACATCTTATTTTAGGAAAAACACTTATGGTTTTGTTAGCATTTTTCCATTGGATTTCCAATGTCCACATTCACTTACATGGTTTTGACATGGTTTTGTTTATGTGTTCATTACTACAAGCTTGAGTTACCATGGCTGTATACCAAAAAAATAACAAGAAAAAAAGCATTGAGGTATGGATTGGGTGTGAATGGCATGAAATGTTCCAGAAATGCATTTAATTCATGATTATTCCTGTGAAATATATTTTCAGAGTTACTGTTGTCCACACTTAAATGGTTAATATAGGGTGTATTTTTATAGTTAGAAGATTCCTCATAGTTCATGATGTAAATATTGTACAGGAAATATTGTCCGTTCTGCTCTTTGGCCCCATGTAAGATCAGGAAGTTGATTGAGTGAATGTCCGTTGCTTTTATTCTCTCGCCCTTTTTAAAGATGTGGATGGGTCTTACTTTCATAATTTTCACCAGTAAAAACTGTCTTGTCATAATCATTTCATCAGGGGAAGGATGAGATATATATTAGTTTTCTATATGTACATAGTATATGTTGCATGTCTCAGTGTTCTCCTTGGACAATCCCTACATCTGGAATTTTGTTATATTTTGAATGGATGCATAGTATTTTCTGTTTTAGAAGAACCAGCTGCAGACAAGTGCTATAAGAGATACTCATTTGCATCACAAGAAAACAGTGCCATTCTAGAAACAGTCTCAGCAGTGGCACTTCAGATAAAGATTCTCCCAAGGGATTTATGCTGCTCGTAGAATTCTCTGTTCACCGTTTAGTTCTATAATGATACAGCCAGTTAAACGTTATGGAACAGATACAAGTTCAGGTACCCTACTTTTTTATTGAAATAAATAGTGTGTTCACACACACACACACACACACACACACACACACACACACACACACACACACACACACACACACACACACACACACACACACACACACACACACACACACACACACACACACACACACACACACACACACACAATACATATACATACATACATATATATATACATATATACATACATATATATTGCATATACATACATACATACATACACATACATACATATATACAGCACTTACATCATATACATACATTACATACAGTTATTTATGTTCTTTTTTTTTATCCTTTGCCGTTTTTTTATTACTACACTCATGATATTAATGCGGGTGGGATCGGCAGCTGGTTAAGAATACAGCTGTATAAGGAACATGGGTATATTGGCTTTATAAGGTAGGATTAAGTGGATTACAAGTCTCTGAAAGACAGACTCTAATTTGCTGTCAAAGATCTCCATTTGGTCAGTGTTTATCAAGTGGAAATGGCTACCGTATGTTTTTTGTTGGTTGCTTGTTTCTCTCTTGGTTTGATACGTCCAGAAGGGAAATTAACAAGAGAGCTAGAGGGAGGGAATTTCAGCAGTAGAGTAGTTCTCAGTCCATTTGTTAAAAATATTGATTTTATTGAATATCTGCTACAAGGCAGTCTCATAGATAAATATAATGATAAAGCTCTGAGGAAGCTGAAGGTAAATATGCAGTCTACAACTAGTATAGAGTATGTAGTTTGAGTTTTGACAGCATTTTAGTGAATTGCGCACTGAGGCCTGTAACCACTACCTATTATTTAATTTGTGCACAATATTGTATATCACTTGCTGTGTGAATTAACCAGGGAAATTGATTCCTAATGCTCTTGTGTGCACAACATGAACTTTTCAATGACTTTCTTTTGTAAAGTATTTCTTATCCAGGTTTTCTTGTAAGATTTGCTAAGATCTCATTCATATATTAAGACTAAATGGGGAACACAAAGTGGAATATTTTTACAGTTATCATCCATAGGATTCATTATGCTGATATCTTCATTTTAATCTAATAAAAAGGATTAGATTAACCCTCAAATTATGGTCAACATCATTGTATTGGTAATGACTTTTTAATAAAATGACACAATAATATACTCATCCTTAAGTCATAATTACTTTTTTTTTTGTCTTCTATTTGAGGTTTTGATTATCATTTGGTTCTCTAAAATCTCTGTGATGTGCATGTTCTTATACACCCTCCCTTAATCTTAATCTTCAGTTGATAGTCGTAAGTCTTAGTGGCATCCCAGTGTCGTAATGAACCGGCCTCCTTTCTCAAGTTTTCGCGGATAATTTCTAACTCATTTTTACTTCAGAGAATAACCTTAATATATTGCATGCTTTTCTGGTGGGAATCCCTGTCCTTTTTTGTAGTCTTTCTTTTGTCTTTTGTTATGGGTTGTTTTTGTTTGGACATAAGATCCTTTTCTGTGAATGGCTTGATATTAACCTAGCATAATAGTGTCGTAGGAAATTATTATCCTTTTTGTATGAATGGGAATTCAAATATTCCATTAAGTGTGTCTGGGGAATGTCTCTCATAGTGCGAAGATGCCAATTGACGATAGGGATAACATTTTTTTGTACATATTTTGTACCCAAGCTTGTACAGGTGCATTCCTCAGCAATAAATATAAAGGTGGATTTGGTGATTTATTTTATTCCTACAAATAGGATATAGAATCATTTAATGTAAAGAAATTTCATTTTGAAAATGGAAAAAGACCTCCATGACTTGATAACTTGAAGGCTTTGAGAGCTCAATTTTCAATTATATGAGAAAGACTTCCTATAGGAATCCTCGGATCCTGTTTTTTCTTTATTTGAACAATAAAAAAGTTTATGATGAAAATATACATGAAGCATATTATATTATTATTTCTCATTATATATATCATACAAGTTACTATAATTTGAGCTTTGACTTTATAAATTGCAATTACTATATTACAGTAAAGCTAAGTTAAAGGCGTATATACATAGCGAGTGATGAAAGCTAGGCGAATGAACAGGAATGCAGGGAAATCTGCCTGGCAAGGGACACTAGTTAGAGCACGAGTTGAAATCCCAAGAGCGCAGGATGAGCCAATAGTTCCAGAGAAGAGTGACCAGAGCACGGGCAGAGCTGCCTACGTCACTTCCAAGATGCAAGCGAAGATACTCACAAAAGGAAAAGGAGCTGTCTGTAGCGCAAGAGGAGCACGGGCTTTTCAAGAAAACAAAAGAACCTGCTTCGATTGCTAAATGAGCTAACTGGAGTGCCAGAGAGCAAGGAGCTATCAGAATGTGTGAGAAAGCAGAGTAATTTATGGAATCACGAAATTTATTGCAAATGAGGAGTTGCCAGGAACCATTATCAAAGTGAAGGAGGTGGCCAGAGGGAGGCGTCAGGATCACAAGGGTGCTCGAGGGCCTTATAGTGACTATAAAATTACTATAGTCACTAATCAACCATTGAATCTGGACTTAGATATTGCAAACATTTCAATAAAGTACCTGAAAAGAATGAGTACCAGGTGAGGCCATTTGTCAGCGAGCTCGACCACGAAAAGTGCAGCAAGATGCAATTTTGCTTTTGAACTTTAATTTTCGTATTTTTATTTTCTTTATTATTAGTGTTGTGAACCACCTGTTCGGCTGTTCACCGGTGAGCCCACCTTGAGCTGGTGCTGGCTGGAGATCTATTTTCACGTAAACCACACTGAACTTGGGATAAGCGGAAACACAGGTAGCACTTGCCGGTTTATTGATATATAAATCAAAAGATTAAAAACACACAAAAATAGCACAATAAAACACTTGCAAGAAGGCTGAAGGCCATGCATCCAGCTAGCCCCGAGGGTCAAGGTGAACTGCCTGGAGTGGCGGTAAAATGGGGTGCGTGAAATATCCCCCAAAGCTGGTGGTTCGCGATTGGTTGAACGTAAAAACATAAGCATGGTGCACAAAATAAACATAAAACATGGTAAAAGTTGAAACATGATACAAATTAAAACACAGTAAAAAAAAAAAAATTAAATACAGTAAATTAAAATGAAACCATTTGGAAAACACAAATGAAAGGTGTACAGCTCCTAGCAAAAGGCTTAAAACAATTAAGAATAAAAAGTTAAAATGAACAAGTTGAGAGTTCTGAGTCCAAAGTCCATTACAACCCCCCCCCATATGGAAAAATGCCTTGCGAGGAACATAACACCTGGTACGACCTCGAAACATTCAATCTTATTCACACTGCGAAAGCGACTAATTTTGTTCTATTTTCACGTTCACTGCACTGCACTACACGACACTGCACGAGACAAACGTCTAGCGCAGAGTTTCTTCTCTAGGGAGCTTATTCCCTTCCTCGGCGAAGTCCAGCTCTGAGGAATGCGTATACGACCTCAGCTGGTTAACGTACACACGGACGGCACGGTGAGGGGTCTGCAGATCCAGCACGTCGTATGTGACAGGCCCTAGCTGCTTCACAACACGGCATGGCCCCAACCAGCGATCGTTCAGACGTCCTCGGTTGCCCTCAACTTTCCTCAGGACCAGTGACGCTTGCTCGAAAGGCGGGAGCGACTTGGCAGCCTGGTTGCAATGAGCTTTGTTCGCCTCCCGTGTCCGTAGGCACACTTCGACTGCCAGACGTCAGGCATCCGGTCAGCCGTTGCACCATCAGCCCTTCGTCAGCCGTCTGCACATTGGTGAGCCCTGTAGTGAAGAGGGCCATCCTCCCAGTCAACAGGTACAAGGGCTGGTCTCCAAAAGACGGGTGAGGGGCGGTGTTGAGTGCAAGACGAACGGATGGTAGGTGGATGGGCCACTGAGGTGTACGCTGAACGAGAGCTGCAAGCTCATCTTCGACGGCCCTGTTGCTGCGCTCGACAACTCCGTTGGACTGAGGGTGGTATGCCACGGAGGAGCGTTTCACCGTCTTGATAAGGGAGCGCCACTAAGCGTCTCTAAGGCAATTTCTGACGTCCCTCTAGCCAGTTCATAAGGTCTTTGCAGGTGGGGTCTCGTAACTGCTGCTCCCTCATCTGTCTTGGCTCCAGGGTGCCAATATCATCAATAATAATCAGACCATCTTGGGAAAAAAGAAATTATATATAGATAGATAGAGATAGATAGATAATATATTCATATATATATTTATATATATATATATATATATATATATATATATATATATATATATATATATATTAACAGAGTCCAAGATGGCATCAGGCGTGGTCACCATGTCAAGGCCCCGGTAATCTACACAGAAGCAATGTGCCATCTTCTTTTCACACAACCGGAGAGACGCACTTTGCTGGCTGTGTGCTGACCCCATGAAACTTCCTCTGCAGCTTTACCCTGAACTTGGTGGCCCACAGCGTCACACCCTCAAAGAGCGGGCCAAGGAGAAGCGTCTGGGCATACCACGTGCCTTCCATGAGCCATACGTACGAAGGCGTCATCAGTAGCTGGACGGTCAGAAGCTCGATGCTGGCAATACAGGATTCCACATCCCAATTTCGTTGTAAACCCAAGGAAGCTGGAGTCTCTCCATAGAAGAGTGGAATTTCGTCACAGCTGCTGTAGACGGGAGCGAGGGTTAGCTGTGCCGGAAAGGCTGGGATGGAGGCACCTGGGGCAGAGAGGCACCTGTAACCGAGGGCCATGCCGGGTCTTGCAACTGGGGTGTGGAGACTGGTGCACCCTGCGCAGTCACAGGAGGTTATGGTGTAGCTGGTGATGCGGCATTGTTCCCACTAAGACAAGCTTGCTGAGAGGCCTGCGGATGCCTGGTGGAACTGACCTCTGCTTCTAGCTCGGCGATCTGAGAGAAGGCATTCTCTAGCAGAGCCGACAGCTTGGCATGAGACGGCATTCTCGCTGTAGCCTCCTCCGGACGTCCTGACTGGCCTGTCACTGTTGCCTCGGTGTCGGTGATGAGCAGTAGGGCGAGTGCAGCACAGGGCCCTCCCTACCTGTGGTGGCTCCTCCGTTGGAGGAGAGGCACGTGACCTCTTGGCATTCTTGAAATTTACCATCGAGTGAACAGTCCGGAGGAGCGCCTTCCGGGTTGAGCTGTTGACAGGCTGTAATCCGGCTCTCGGCGACTTCCGACGGCGAAGGTTGGGTGCCGGCAGGTGCCAGGGGCCGGCGTCACAGCAGAGTCCCGGCGGAGACACCGTGGAGACGGAGCTACACTCGTGATGTACACATGCACACAAACACACACTCGAGGTCGTGCAGAGGGGTTTAGGCAGCACCTGCGGACAAATAGATGCTAAGAACAGGGTCCTCAAAAGCAGCACAGACAATAAATAACAAAATAAATGAAAATGGCAGTGAAGTGTAAGACTACAGGTAAGAACAAAACACAGTAAATGAGTGGTAAAACGAGTAAAGGTAAAAACAACAAACGAGAGAAAACAAGAAAGAACAAAGGCACAGCAAATTAGATAAAACGAGTAAGAAAACAAAACGAGATAAAACGAGGGTACAAGTTACTTATATCGACGTGCGTTGATAGAGGGACACCGCCATCTTATAGAGCGGAAAAATAGAATGGGATACTACATTGTTTAAGCTGCAGCGGCCTCGTATATACCGGTAAGTGGGAAAAAAATGTACGGCACAACATTTTCTATGAAATCGTTTTCTGTCTCATTTTCAGTAAATCCATTTTCTTTAGCAGCGTTTTCTATAAATGTCACGTTTTCTGTGCACCACTTTTAAATTCCTAATTTTATCATATTTCTACTAACATTTCCTCTCTTCCTTTTATACTTATACGTTATAATTGGTCTTCTATCTAATGTAGGTATTTTAAGATTATTTTCGTTATCACAACCTCGATTCACTGTTAACCCACATGCGACAGGTGTCTCACATATGTAACGCCCGGAATAAAGACAACGGCCGGGTGTTCCGCCGGTGTGACGTAATCTATTGACCTCAGTAACGTCTTTTATATCTACATATCGGATTTATTGTTGCACACGTTACGTCATGAGGCCACAAAGAATTCAATTCAATTTAGCAGCGGCTGCTGCTACTAAAAAAAAATAATAATAATAAATAAAACGAATATAGATATTTCAATTTACCGAGAGTTGACGTCATAAATAAAAGGAGAAAGTAGGGAATTATTGTCAAAAATATATGAAAATTAACTATTATTTTTCCGTATATATCGGGGTGCTTGCAGCTCCATCACTTCATTCATGCCTCGAACTGCCTCGAACTGCCCGCCGCCCACACTCGCCCCCCTCCACCTACTCCTCTGACGTCGATGAGCCCCGGCCCTTGACTTCGTAAGTTCGTTTATCACGTGTTCTTTCCATTTGTATTCACATTGATAAAATCTAGCACTGAGCTATCAGAATGCTTTACTTGTCTTTCTTTTCCACTCCAATAGGACGCCGTCATCTGCTTCTGCTGCCTCCTCCTGAGGACGACCACCCCCAGCCCTCAACTTCGGTAATTTTCGTTTATCATTCTTGTGTATTTTCTACTTGTATTCATATTGATAGAATCTAGCTTCGAGCTATCAGAATGTATTACTTGTTTTTCTTTCCCAATCCCACAGGGGCGCCATCGAGACCTCCAGCCCTCGACCTTCTCGGTAGCTCCTGCGAGGGTGCTTCGTCGCCGTCCATCGCGACCGCCTGCACCCTCGGAACCTCGTTCGCCCACTCGTTTCGATATTTCGTCGGAAGAAAGTGGCGAAGAGTGTCTGCCGAGTATGGAGGGGGACGTCGCCGACCCCGTGTTCGACAAGTCCAGTTCGGAGGACGAACTGGATTCCTTTCCGCAGGTCGACATCACCGTCGACCCCACGCTGGACAGTGACGAGCCGCTTCCCAGCGTGGCCGCGAGGTGCGAGGAGTTCCGAGGCGATCCTGGGGTGAAGGTCCCTTTGGACGTCTCAGCCTCGCCCATGGAGATCTTCGAGTGCTTCTTCTCCGACGATCTCTTCGCTCATATTGTAGCGGAGACTAACTGGTGAGTTGTTATTATCACTAGTGTGTTCTTTCTATTTGTACTTGCATTGAGGAAATCTAACATTAAGGAATCAGAATGTATTACTTGTTTTTCTTTTCCACTTCCACAGGTACTCCCTCAGGTAGAAAGTAACATTTTGGTAAAGTTAAAGTCAGTATTCAAGGGAGAAATATTTTGCCTTATTGATCCGTGCTTATTCTTAATAAATTCGGCTGTTGTTAATCTATAATGAGGGTTTATGTAGCCTGATCTTTTAAAAGTAATTACATGATTAATGCCAGAAGGACCTGCCATGCTTCCGAAGTGACCTTAAATCCAGTCCACTACAGAAACTAAAGGAAAAAGGTCGCAGAAAGCGGCGCTCACAGCCTAAGTCCACTCGGTGCTACAGCGGATAAGTCCACTCGCTCGGCGCGCAGCTCGCACACGTCTCCTGCTCTACTGCGCACCTACGTCACCACTACCTCACGACCAATCAGGAGGCGGCAGTTTAGCAGAGATTTTTAATTGCTCATCAAAGTTTAAGTGTAATATTCCATATACTATATCAAAATGCACACGACTATCGCTGATACATATTCACGTCGTTTTTACGTTAAAATGTGGATTTTGATCCTTAATTTTCCCCAACTCGATATTCTTAATTGCCAAACTGCTCAAAGAATATAGTCAATACTTAACTCATTTCGAGTGTGCAAATAACGGGCACATTTCTTGACTACACGGGTGACCTGCCTCATTCTTCTCAGTGACAATGACCGATGGGTGTCAATTGTGCTACAGTGGTGTACTTGACTTTTTTTCGAATTTAATGGAAAAAAGAAGAATTAAGATTTTACGATTCACGGAATCATTCTAAATGAAAAAAAGTGTGAAAAATACAATGCAATTTGCAGACTTGATGTGAATAATAAGAATTTTAGATGTGATAAATCTAGAAAAATAACAGAAGAGTGAGGTGTAATTACAAGAAAACAATTTTTCACAAGACTTGGTTCGCCAAATCTAATATGGACATAGAAACTAATTCATTATTTGCTAATTATTATCTAAGATTATTTTTCTTATTCCCTGGTAAGAGACGAACTAAAGTTATCAGACAAAACGATATGTGACTGGGGAAGTTTTTGTAGGAAAGTGCTCATTTCTTGGTGTTTGACAAATAGTGTAGAAAAAATTGGTGGCCCTGGCACGATCGTCGAAATTGACGAATCAAAATTCGGAAAAAGAAAGTACAATGTTGGCAGAGTAATTGAGGGCCAGTGGGTTTTCGGCGGGGTGTGCCGGAAATCTCGTAATTTTTTTTTCTGATTCCGGTTCCCTCAAGAAATGCCGAGACTCTATTACATATTATCAGAGACTGTGTAGAGGCAGGGTCTGAGGAATGAGGAGTACCTAGCCACATCCCCCAGTGAGAGGGACCACACCGACCCTGCTCTTGAAAGCTACACCCCAGTTGACCGAGGGCAGCACACTTGACCGGGGCTCTCGGCCCTGACCAGACCTCACTCTTGGGGGCGCCCCCCCATGCGCGCTCACGCTCGACGCGCCTCTTTGGCTCCCTTTGCCCACAACTGCACCAGCACGAGAGACAGCCCGCGCCACGCTACCTACCAGCCACTTCAACTAATAAACCTCCAAACCAGAACTGTCTCTCCATACACCCACCAAATCAGGGCAAATTCAAAACCCTGACACAGGGTAAACCATATTTAGTGACTGCTGGAAGGCATATAATTGTCTCAGTAAAGAGGGCTTTAACCACCTGACTGAACCATTCCATCAATTTCGTCGACCCCGTCACTGCAGCGCACACCAACGCCATTGAGCGCAAGTGGCGGGAGGCGAAGGCAAAGGTACCGCACTACGGCAGGAGGAAGTACTATTTTGTTGGGTATTTGGCTTGGGCGATGTTCTTGATGAACATCCCGACGCGAATCAACACTTACATCGCTTCCTCCTTGCCGCTGCAAATTTGTACCAGCCGGAATAAGGTACGTCGCCATATAGGTTACTTGTTACATTGCATATCCTTTTCGGTAAAAGGTAAATTGTCCTACTATTTAATTTTATCTTGTTGATGCCTGAAGGGCATGCCCAGTCACGGTAACTTGGACTGTTGAGTAAATTTTGTGTTGGTTACCGTGTGCACTTGCGCTTTCCTATAATCGAATATGGCGGCATAATCGCCCCCCCCCCAAAAAAAAAATAAAAAAAAAAAGTTTCTCACGTGTCCCCCACGATTGTTGGGTGCAAGGTCTATGTAAGTACTAATTAAACCTTGGTTGGCTGGAGTTAGCGAGTGCGTCCGTACCAGAAAGAACTTCCTTTTATTGACCCCAAAAGTAAAGCGTGCACAAATACGATCGAGCGCAAATGGAGGGAGGCCAAAGCCAAAGTGCACCGCTTCGGCAGTAGCAGCTACCACTAGAGACTAAGTCGAAAAAAATGTTTTTCTGCATGAAATCCTATGATTTCATCGATTTTCGGCGTTGTTTCTTTTGCGAATGAATCGTTCAGGAGATCGAGTACCATTTCTCCATCGACGATCTTGATTTGATAGTCCCGTTAGCAGGGGAGGGCATGAAGTATATCAGGGAAATTATGGGGTAAAACAAGCTTAAATAAGAATAACGATCAAAAATGCGTAAAACTAGCACAAAAAGCGCTTAAAATCGGCAATGAAACTCTACGATGTAACCGCCATCTTTGAAAGTTTACGGACTGACGCGAAATCAAAAACTCGGGAACCCAACCCACATTTCGGCAAAAACTCTACGGGAATTCACACGTTCCAACCCCAAAAAGTATTGAATAAACCAACCTAATATATCAATATAAATTGCCGTGACTAGGCGTGCCCTTCGGGCACTGCCCGAGGGGAGGGTTGATGGGGGCAAGCCCCCAACACCCCCAGGACACATTCTCTCCACCACGGTATGTACGGCAAGACAGAGCTGCATTCACACCGTAAATAATAAACCAAATACCTTTATATCCGGAAACGTGAAACTTTCGTTTCTTTGTACTGTTGGTATTGCTTCGATTTTAATCACCTTTTTCGTCCTTTGGAGCTCTTGATGGGCTCAGATATAAAACTGGGATGGTTACTGAAGTCGAATTATTCTTCGATGCCACTGTAAAGGTCTAAAAGAACCCAGAATCAACACAACACTGGAAACGCAACATTTCTCACCGGCTTTCAATCTCGAAATGAGCGGGTTGGTGAGCTGTCAACCTGTGGCTGGCGCAAGAAAGTGTGAAACACTCGATGCGCAGGATTCCGATATGAGGGTATAGAAAAAATATAAAATATGCAATTAAAGTATAATAACATTACTAAAAGACTTTAAAGGTATAAATGCGTACCAGCAGACACAGATAATTAGCCAAATATCCTTTTGGCAAGCGCGTAATGATACACGGACTAGTTCGCGAACGCAAAATGCGTTCGTGGGTCAGTGTCGTGTTTTTCCTCGCAAGGTAATCAAGCTCATCGACTTTGAATTTGAAAGGCGGCCGCGCGTTATATTTTCGTCATTTAGCGGTGACTATATGGCCGGTGCATATTAAACTATAATCTATCCCTTCTATTTTTTCCCGCTCTATAAGATGGCGTTGTCTATTTCCCTCAATCTACGCGCGTCGCTATAAGTAAAGTAAAATTAAAAGAAAACCAAATGACGAAAGCGAGAAAATCAGAAGCGAAAAAATAGATAAAACACGAATCAAATAAACAAGTGAAAAATGGCAGACCTGAACGAGCAAAAGGAAACGTAACACGGAAATGCAAAAAAAAAAAATAAAAAATAATAAATAAAAAAAATAAACAATCTGTACATAAAATAAGTCCAGAATCTATAAGGATTGAAATACAGTAAACAAAATGGCAAAAGCTCACGCACTAAAATACTTAAAAATAAAATAAAAACATGAAAAAGATTGAGAAAAAATACATCTAGCACAATTCAGAAGTGTATTATGTATATATGTATCAGGATATTCACACATACACAGGGGACAAACACAAATACTTAGCTCAAATATCCAAACCGCTGCACACAACTGTTTATAGTGAACCACCTGTTCAGTTGTTCACCGCTGAGCCACTTGAACTGGTGCTGGCTGGAGATCTATTTATACGTAAATCACACTGAACTTCGGATAACTTGTGATAAGCGGAAACACAGGTAGCACTTGCCGGGTTATTGATGTGTTAATTAAGAAACTATAAACACGAAGAAATAGCACAATAAAACACTCGCAAGAACGCTGAAGGCCGCACGTCCTGCCACCTCCGAGGGTCAAGGTGAACTGCCTGGAGTGGCGGTAAAATAGGGTGCGTGAAATACCCCCCAGAGCTGGTGGTTCGTGATTGGCTGAACGTCAAAACAGATGACGAGCGAGGTGCACAAATATAAACATAAAACACGGTAAAAAGTTTAAAAAGAATCAGTAAATTAAAATACAACTAATTGGAAAAAAAAATAGATAAAAGGTATACTGCTCCTAGCAAAATGTAAGCAAGGTGCTGTACTCGTATGTACATGCATTTTTTATTCATCTATATTTTCTCCCATTCTTTAGCGGAAATATATATACCTCGTATGTGCAATAGTTTGGAGTAAGTGGATTATAATATTCATATTGTATTTTTTGCACTTTCAAAATTAGAAAAGTTAATAGCTCAATGGTCACTGGTTGAAAAAAAAAAAAAAAAAAATCAGTTTTTGTTACATTACATTGTTTGATTGTAATAGCTTGATAATTGATATTGAAATGAATTTTCTCTCGTGTAAATAATCTATTTCTTACTAGTTTTGGGTACATGGTTGTCAAGCAATATTTCCCATGGTTATGACACATTTTTTAATAAAGAATTATTTAGTCATGCGTTTGCAGAAATAAACGAAAATGCATGAATTGTATGTGTATATTATTATTAATATATATATATATATTATATAATATATAATATATATATATATTATATATGTTTGATAACGTGTATTTACTGTATGTAGAGGGGCAAGGAAAAATTATAATGATATTTTCAAAGGTATGATGAATTCTGAAATGACATGAACGAAAAAAATGTTTCAAATTTATTTTGTAAGAATATATATACATTGAACAGAACCACAGGATTGTAGTGACATCATATCCCATGATCCGCAGTGCCATCCCAAGAGCCATGTTTCCTAGGCGTCCTAGGGACTCGGCAAGGCAGCCGGCAGCGAAAGAGTCCTCGAGAGGGCGAGCTCCTCCTCGGGGCTCTCAAGGGGCGCGAAGTCCTGCCTCAGCCGAGCGGGCTCCTGCTTCGGGGCGGAGGGAGCCTGGTAGAGTGGCAGAGGCAGGTAGCCCAGCGACGGTTCTGGGTCGCTTGCGGGCGGGGCGGCGGTGGTGGTGGTGGGCGCAGAGGGCTGTGGCGGGGCGTAGAGGTTGTAGGGCGTAGGGTTGCCGCGATTCGTGGGCGTGGGGGGCTCGGGGAACCTGGCCTCGCCCTCGTAAGTGACTTGGGCGACGTAGCCATTTTCGTCGGCCGTGTAGGTGACCCTCTGGATGCGGCCGTCGGGGAGGGCCACGCGGTACTGCCCCGTCGTCCTCAGGCCGTCGTGGGACTCCTGGTGGCCGAAGTTGGTGCCGCTGAGGTCGTCCTGCACGCCGTACGCGAAGGCATAAACCTTCGGGGCCTGAAGAAGCAAAGCAAATTATTTTATTTCATTGTATTTGCGTTAAGAAAAAAAAAACTCTAATCACAGTGGAGAATGTTCTGATTTATGGTCATGTATACACTTAGCGTCTTTTTTCCTGACAGGTCGTCTACCCTTGCACTGGTCCTCCTACCTCGGGCACTTTCGCGTCTGGAAGGGGCAGTTTCGCAGCGTTCCCGAAGGCGACGCAGACGAAAGCGCACAACAGCACCTGAAGAAAGAGCAAAGAGCATGACATAGAAGGCCACGCCTGGAAGGGCATGTAACACCGGTTAACGTAAACCATGTAATTGCTAGTACTGATGCCATGAACCCACATGTACTTCATAGATTTGATATAGATACTTATGGTACCCTTGCCGTAAGCTTACACACACACACACACACACACACACACAGAGAGAGAGAGAGAGAGAGAGAGAGAGAGAGAGAGAGAGAGAGAGAGAGAGAGAGAGAGAGAGAGAGAGCGAAGTTGCTACCACTCCTGTACGTACCTTAGCGTTCATGATTGTCCTGCGACTGTGAGCTGGGCGGGATCGGAGCGATGTGGTGCCCGGGTGCGTCCTCATCTTTATATACCCGACAAGCGAGGTGTCCTCTCGCGCGTGACGTCATTACGCCGTTAATTGGGAAGGCGGAGAGAAAGTTCGGGAAAGGAGACGTAAATGTGCGGGTAAGGACAATCAGATACGTTATATTTCCCAATGGAAATTGAAGTTTTTGATGAATTGGATATATAGATCTTCGTATACAAGATAAATAATGAATGGTTGGATTAAATGATATCTTCGTATATAAGAAAAATAATGAATGGTAAGTGAGAAGGGAAGTGAATATTTAACAGAAAGTTTGCAATTCACATGCTATGGTTGCTACTTTTGCAGTGTAATTAGTGTTATAGAATAATTACACTGCTTTTGCTAATCACATTGAATGTTATTAGTAATTTACGTATTTTTATTCATGAATTTTATTAGTAATTTGCGTCTTGTATTTATGAATGCTATTAGTAGTTTATATATGGTATTTACTATTAGTAGTTTATTTATGAATGTTATTAATAATTTATATATTTGTATATTTCTTTGATTAATGTTATTTTGCGTGTATGGTATATCATTGTATCGTATCACATAAAAAATGATAGTGAAAAGTGATATAATGTAGTTTTACATTAGAATTACGGAACAAGCAAAGTTTTAGAAAATGTCTCCTTATACATGATAACGATTTATCTATTATCTTTTTAAGGCTGTAATTGGTCAACGAAGTCAAGTAGCATATTATTAGTAGAAAAAATGTTGACTGCTTTAAAATATATCCTGAATATATAGATTCATAGATCTCCACAAGTGTCGTATATTTCGATCAGAAATGTACATTTCATGAACTGGAAAGACCTAAAACCGTCCCTGGAAAACCATTGCAATGTTGCAAAAAGATATGTTCATCATTTTCATCAAACCTTTTTAAATGACTTTTAAATCTACTAAACGTGCTCTAATTTACCCAGTAGGTGATAATTACATCTATTTTTATTATACAAGACCCTTCTCGCAGAAATCTGGCCCCCAGGTGAATATGCATAAATGTATTGTTTGCTAGATGTATGACAGATTACATTGCACTGATTTAATTAATTTTATATATATATATATATATATATATATATATATATATATATATATATATATATGTGTGTGTGTGTGTGTGTGTGTGTGTGTGTGTGTGTGTGTGTGTGTGTGTGTGTGTGTATATCCGTTATTTATTTTTGAAAACGTCCATTGTTAAGCCGTGTACAGTCAGACACACAGCCACTCAGTAGAATACCCTCGAACAAAATAAAAATGCCACAGATGCAATGTCATTTTTTCCCTCATAGGACACTGTTCAGGAACAAAACAGGGACTGGTTGTTCATGCTTAGAGCCCTGGAGATCGCAGCTGTTAGAGGATTTGGGACGTTTTGTCCAGAACTTCCAGTGTGCTTCTAGAACTTTCTAGAACTTCATTGAATCACGGTGATGTCTGGACGAAAATTGTCGGTTTCATGAAAGATCGTAATGAAGAGGTTCCTAATTTTACGAAAAAAAAAATATATATATATATATATAATATATATATATATATAATATATATATATATATATATAATATATATATATATATAGATGGAGAAATCGGCAGTGGAGATTTTCGTGATTTTATAGATATAGATATATTTTTAATTGAAAATGATGAACACTCGACTTTTACAAGTAGATGCCTTACGTACCAATTGCAAATATACAGCTAGATAGTTACGCAGAAACTGGCTGAGTACATTGTTAGCATTTCAAGTTATTTCCACTGTATTACCACTTGAGTTTTACATAAATTGTTAAAAACAAATTTGACTTTAAATCGATCATTGTGTATATCTGTAAATCGGATGCAGTATATGACACTCACACACGTATGTATGTATGTGTATGAATATGTATAGACACAGACAAACATATATATATATATATATATATATATATATATATATATATATATATATATATGTGTGTGTGTGTGTGTGTGTGTGTGTTGTGTGTGTGTGTGTGTGTGTGTGTTTATGCATAGATACACACACACATATATATATAGGGAGAGAGAGAGGCAGATATATATAGATTTAGATGTAACCAGGTAGATAGATAGGTAGATAGATACATATGCGTAGGAAAAGGGGGCAGGGGGGGGAGGCGACCGCCCTCCCACTCTACAATGGAGAGGAGCGGGACTACCTTCCCCCCCCCACTTCCTCAACCTTCGAGGACATCTCCCAGTAAACAAACAAACACTGCAATTCCCTGAGTGACCCCGTTGTTGAGAACACTGACCCCTGCAACTAGAGAGGAAAACATACAACCGTGTCTAGGTGTTTCAAAAGAAAAAGCCATTAAAGTCAAGTATTATGAAATTAATACATGGATCTGACTTTTTCAGTGCAGAAAATAATGGGTTCTTCCTCACATTAAGACTGTGTATGAAGTCCAGGCACGACTCTCCCGAAAGGAACACACTAAGCCCGACTACTCCACAACCAACCAAGCGCAGCGAGCCTAACACACAACCCTCAACACCCCCCCCCAGAAGCACACCTCCCCCTCCTCTCCCCCTAGCTCACTGGGGAACCTGCCTCCCCTCCCATTCGCTTCAAAATGCTCATCCTCACACCTCCCATGATACCTCTACTCCGCTTAATACCATATCAGCTAACATAATCCACTCTCACTCACCACCTCATACTCACCCATGATCTCTCCACTACTCTCATCATATATGTGTTGTGTGTGTGTGTCTTCGTTCCGTGCTCGTTGTTCGTGTTACTCACAGTCCCAATACGATTACCAACACACCAACTATCCACACACCAACCAAATATATACACACTCCAACTGCACATCACAGCCCACCACCCTTCACACACACAACACAACACACACCCAACACACCCACACCCAACAACCACACCACACACACATAACACACATACTAACACACACATACACACATCAATCACTACACATCTACAACTAAACTACACACACACATACTAACATACACACCACCAAACCCCCCCCGCTCCACCCCCCCCACAAACCCCAAAAATATAACCCGAGTAAAGATAAAATCCCCCCCCCTCCCCCCCTCAAATCAAACTTGCATCATAAACATAAACCCACCACTTCAAACCGATTTCCCGTTTCTCCCCGCCAGTGTCCAAGTTCGGTCCGCGGTCCGTACGTAGGTTGATAGGGCGTTGATCTACGGTCACGGGCGGCTTCGCGTTGCCTCCTGCTGCCCGAGGACGCTCAGCGAGAAGCTCCCCGACACCCCTGGATGAGGGAGAGAGTTTTTTTCGCCTAGTGCACAGGGACTTCGTGCCACAAACTACCCTTCACTAGAGTGTATGAGGTCCTTAGTGTGGAGTATGTATATATATATTATATTATATATTTATATATAGGTGTGTGGAGGGCGGGGGTTATAGTATATATATATATATATGGTTATATTATATTAGACCTCGGTTTACATGGTAGGGATGACTATCTGCCACAACCCCCTGCGCGAATATGTATGTGAGTGTAGTTGCTCAGTATGTGGATAGTAGAGGGTTAAGGATGATTTCGGGGTAGAGTGGTATATTGAGCCGGTCAGGACTCATTCTATTGACCCAAACAAATAACCCCTTCGCGAGGTGAGGGTCCGGTAGTAGTAGAAGGTCTGAGGTGGAGGCGGGGTCTCAGTGGTAGTATAGGTTGTAGGGTAAGTTGAATATATGTTATGTGCAGGTATATCAGTTGATTTAATTACAGTAGGGTATTGGTAGTTATTAAAAATTTGTTATATACTCATAGGTATAACCTACTATAATATATACTCATCAATTGGTAACATATTTTCGAGACAACGAAACACCATAACGTCAAGGAAAATATTTCATAGCCGATCTAATTAACGGATATATAATATATACAGTACCACACGTACGTAATACCAATAGATTATTATATGATATGTGTGTGTATAGGATAATAGATATATAATGATAATATATAATACTACTAATTATGTTATTATATATATATATTATATATACATTATCACATCTATCTGGGGGGTATTATATAGGCTTAATGTTCAAAGGAGATACATCATTGCTATGTAGTGTGGCAATATGTCCGTTATATATACTGTAATGATTCATTGGGTATTGTGACTCAGCACAATTATATTACAAACCGGCCTGACTTTACTTACACTAGTCTAAGTGAGATATGTTATTTGATTATATATCAATACGTCGTTCTATATTATTCATTGTTGCTATTTTGTTTATTTTAACCCATATTATTTATACAACACAAAAGGTCACAGGTTGTCTCTAGTCTAATTTATCTTTTTATGTTGTTTTTTTATTTATTTATTATGCTTATTACCTGCATTATGGTTGTATGGTATATATATATTATTATAATTATATTTTCGTAGTTAGGTATTTATTATATTTTATGTTATTTCATTCTAATCATCATCACCAGAATATCCTTCTAATCATTATAGACCATTCTATAAATTATCACATTAATCTATATTCAATTCATTGCTCACAGTCATTACCAAGGATTCTCCCACGTATCGCGGTGCTAGCTCGCATTTAAGAAGGGAATAGATAAAGAACAATGTAAGGTACGTAAAATATGTAGGTATATATATTATGTAATACCACTAAGGCTAGCTAGACTAATATATTACAGAAGTAGGCTAAGATAAACAAATAGACTTCAAGCTGGGCGATCGGAGATCACCGAGATAACGACCGACCGCCATGAAGTACAAGTACCAAAGAGGTAATACAATAAATAATAGCTATATGAAAGATATGTGACGAGATAATGACTTAGCACATAAAAGGTGTTAATAATTATTTAATAACCAGATAAGGTAGTAAGAAAATTTATTAAGATTAATGTTATTAATAATCTGGGTTTAGCTGAGGTATTTGATATATTAGTATGGATATTATTTTTAGTGAGGGAATAATGTGGGATAAGTTACAAAAAAAGTGAATTGCTTGTATGTAATTACCACCCCATTAGAGGTAATATAATGTGTGTGTGTGCTTGAATTGTGCCGGTTTCTTTTAAGCGAATGCGTATTTCAATATATGTCTTTTTGTGTTTCACGTATTATAAATATTAATCACAGATGACTGTATGACGGATCTTTTAAAATATATATTTATATCTAATGTAAATATGCTACTTGTTTTAGCAGGATAAAAAATATCGTCATAAATCAAGAAAATGTTCTGTAATTTATTGATAGTTATTAATTATTTCTATATATTAAAAAAATAAACTCCGATGTCAGCTCACAGTTTAGTTATGGGAGTAATATAATTTTATGGTGCCGAGTTATGTTGTGTAGGCAATTAAATCAGATAACTGTGTTGTGTACATACCATATTAGCACCATGAGCTAAAAGTTATACATATAATATCTGTTCGAATATTACTATTATATGTGAACTAATACAATAGTACTCTTTGCGTACAATTTATATGTACCCACAGATTATATATGTCATAGAAGTAAGCATATATATTAAACTCGCTTCTTGAGATACTTATATAAATATCAGATGTTGGAATATAATAACAAATAAAGATGAGAGATAGAGAATCAGAACAGAGACAGAACGAACAGGAGAAAAATAGGGGTATTATAAATAGAGTGAATATAAAAAAGGATATAACACCTTTATATTCATCAAAATAATATATCATGATCTAACCAAATGTACAAATCTCAAATAGTATCAAAGCGATCCAAAATATATATACAGACCAGACCCATATTTACTATCAAAATCCGATCCTCATTAGTACATAGCAGAATATCACACAACAACATACACGGACAACAAACACGACACAAAGCACACACGTCGCTGGCGACAATACTCAGTAAATACACCGTGATATGTAAATGCGGGTAATAATATAAAAACACTACTACCACACCAGAGTAATAATAATATATAAATAAATATAATAAATAATATAATATAAATAAGTAAGTTAAATAAAATAAATATAAGAGAATCAATCACTACCGACTATAAATTAATATATATATGGTATAAAAACTAAAATATTATAATAATAATATATATATTTACATATAGTAAGGTATAAACAAGGAAAAGCCCACACGATGTATAGAGGGTCACGGGAGTGGCGCTAGGTAGGCGTGGACTCAAACGTGAAACCCGCGGACGGTACCGTTGTGGATGTATTCTAGCGACCTACTATTTTTTGTCGACGAAAATCCAGTTGCCGTATACGCGCTGGCGGGGTAATTCGGTACTGCGATGATTTAGTCTATTTCTAATGAATACCTATTAGCTTCGTTTAAGTTCCTAGAAGACATAACCTTATACACCTCTATATTCTTAATATATTGATAATATTAATATTAGATATGATTAATATTTCCTTTAACTTCATCTGTATATATATATTAATTTCATCTACAAACTTCCCACTTTATAGTTAGGTTTTTCCACTTTTACAATTACCCTACCTCAATTACATACTACATCATAGCGATATATTATATTCCCCTCAAAAAGCAAATGCAGAGAATAACTGAGCATCATTTCATCCTTATCCTGTCGTAACGGGAATAAGGAAAAATATCCGGAAATACACTGTCTATTTATATATATCCCCCGTGTACTTACGTTATCTGCTCCTATAAGGTTCACTCGCCACGGTTATCTCCGCATATATACTTCGTCTCGCGCGGGTAAATTAACTTATCACTGCGTATTATATTTATACTTTAGTATTTTAGTGATCCAGCGCACCAATATACCTCTCTTGTATTTGGGGTGGAATAATATATGAGT